ACTTTATTATTTTACCACATCATTAGCATTATTATCACTATTATTATTCCTCACATTTAAAGCTTATAAAAGAAAAGGGGAATTGTGGTGTTATTCCCGTTTAGCAAAAATAGGCCTCTAGATTCTTTAGCGAAAACAAGCCTCTCTTACATTGTTAAATAAAATTTTCTTCACATTAATTTTTGGATATGTTGGTTTTGTGATATTTGAAGTGTAACAAACAAGAGCGCACAAGGAAATTGTCCATAATATTAACAATTAATAAATAAAACACTGTGACTATGCTACCCTATTTTCATATCACTTATTTTTTTTGCCCATGTGCAGTAATGTCTGAAGCTTATTCTTTTGTGAAGACATAGTATATAAAATATATAAAAATAAATTGAAGAAATAAATTTTATTTAACAACATAAAACAGTTAAATCTACAGAGGCTTTATATTAAAAAGCTTCTTTCCTGTATTATTTAATTACAAATACAGTAGAGCGTCGTTTATCCGAATCAATTGGGGACTGGGGTTGTTCGGATAACCGATTATGTACGAAAAAATATATTAACCTATCCCATGTTGAAATTTTTCCCCGTTGCATGTCGCTTCGCGTTGAATTTTCGTCGATGTTAACACTAATGTAAACTTTTTAAAATAATAATCATGGCTATTGTATCGTTAAAAATTATTTTTTTATTTTGTACAAACAAAATAAATATATTGAAAAATAAAAACAAAAAAAATTATACTTTAGAAGTTAATCTAGTATCAAAAGCGTTCGATTCAGTCCTGGGAAAAACACCACACAAAAGTATCAGTGCTGCTAGCTAAAACACACACATCAACAAAAAAAATATTGGAGTAGCCCAAGATGTAGCCAGAGATTGCAGCGCCACAGCACTAGTAAAAATTTAAATTTGCCGACTGGAATTCTTTCGGATAAACGACGCTCTACTGTAATCACAAATCTGAATATACCTTAAAAATTTATGCAACACTAAAAACCCATATTAATTTCTTAAAATTACATTTTGAACGCAAAAATTTATTATTAAGTTGCATTTATTCTTTATATACTATTGATTAAAGTGCTTTCTCTATTTTAAAAGTAAGTTAGAATAAGAAGAAACTCTGCAATATATGTTAATGACTATATGAGAACTAATTAATTATTTAAAATAATTTTTATTGTGAACATAAAAGGAAGAACTAAAAAGTATTTGGAACAGATAGATATATTCTTTACTTACAGAATTTTTCATCTAGTCTTAAGAATAAAATGGAAATTTTGTTTATGACACTGTTGTACTGTGGCATTTGTTTGGATTTGCAGTGTTGTTAAATTTTGTTTTCTTTTCTCTTGACTGGAAAATTTATCTTTCTTTTTATTTATGTGATTTCCTGTAAGCTTTTTTCATCGTATTTTATAGAAAAATTTGCAAAGTCCACAAATTTGTTCTCTTCAAATGACAATAAAGGTTCATTTCAGCAAAAGAATNACTAAGTACTCTATTTTTCCGAAGGAGCAAGACTACTTGATCAAAGTACACACACACACACACGCACATTTTTTTTTTCCTGAAGTAGCTAGATTGCACACTTTTTAGTTGAACTAACTTTTCTGGAAAGGTGAATGTGAAGTGCAAAAGCTGTAGAATAAAGATATGGAGATGTAAAATTTTATTGCTCCCCTTTTACCTCTTATTAAATATTTGTTAAAAATTAATTTTTTATACAAATAAATATTAATGTAAGTTAAATATTAAAAACACTAACTATAACAGTATTTGGGTAAATGCCCGGGGATCCTTTCAGAGTTCAGAGTAGGGTAACTCCCTATGAGTGCCTCTGCCCCCCATAAGATGACTTGGTATTTAATTTTGCCGGAGTCAAGTGTTTTTTTTACAGACTCCACAGCCCTGCTTAGTAGTACAATAATTCACATTATTATTAGGATTATAAATTATATCTAGATCAGTAACAATACAATATTAAAGGAAAAAGTATTTAAAAACAATCCAAATGAGAACAAAAATCAAGAATTGAAAATTGAGCTAGCATATCCTACAAATGTGATGGAGACAGAAGAAAAGAAAATAACCACAACCATAAACAAGAGAGGAGAACTATTACCAAGATTTTTTACTGGACTTGTTTAGTATTGTATTATTAATCACCTAGATATAATTTATAATCTTAATAATAATGTCACAATTTTGTAATTATAGTACTACTAAGCCTAAGGTATATTTCAAGTGTTGGCAATTATCACCATAGACTGTTTTTTATGTTATCTAATTGAAAAGGACCATAAGGCCGAAATGCATTTTGGAGAGATTGATTAAATATGCTGGGAGTATAATAAGCCTATTATTAGTCCTAAGTAACTATGTTTTTGTAACTACATAGGCTTGTTTTTGCTAAATGGAAAATGACATCATAATTTTTAATCTTTTTCTTTATGATCTTTAAATGTGAAGAATAAAAATAGTAATGCTAATAGTAATAATGCTAGTGATGTAGAAAAATAATAAAGTTACACATAAAAAAATAACTAAAACTAAAACTCTGAAGATTCAAATCTGCACTGTCTAGCTCCAGTACGTAGCATCTTATTCACTCTGCTATCGCTGTCCTGGGGCATGAAACTTGCAAAGACTTATAATCTAAACACTAGATTTTCAGAGGTCCAATTTTTGGAAATGCTTGATAAGTGGGTCCTATTGTTTGAACAAGGAGCTGCTTGTGTTTAAGGCTGTGTGTTCATCAAAGTTTCGTGTGAATTGTCAACATCTGGCTCTCCTATTGTTAGCAATAGCAATCATTTTTGGATAATTTTTTAATGAATAACACATTTGATCACAATGTTTAAACAGTATTTCACAGGTTCTGTCATGTCAAAATTTTTGTTTTAGTTACTGAAAAAAGATCAAAGTGAAAAAAGTCATCTCAAAAAATTCCCAAAATTTCTATCAGTCAATAAATAATCCCCAGTCTGGAAACACTGGGCGGCATTGCACACAACTGCCTTTGGTTCTCAATGTCACTTCCTGCTTTTCTGTCCGAACTTGCCACACACCATGAAATTGCTAGGTATGTGGTGCACAGGACTCATTGTACAGAAGCTTGACATTTTGCTGTTTTTCCTGAAGTGTGATTTGTGATTCGATTTCACACTGAATGTTGAAACAAGTGGACTAGGGATTTTATCACCAGTGTTATATTTTTATCACCACTTTAATAAAAATATTGGCCAGTGGCTATTTTGGTGCTATGTAGTGTGCAACTTCTGGTTAATAGACCTGAAAACATCAAAATAAGTACTGAAGTTTAATTTTTCTCTAGAATTAATGATGTCATGCTAGAAAGTTCTTTATAAGTTCTAACTAATCCATGAATTTTATTCAATTTACTTAGGCATATCAAAAAATTATTAGATCAATTCATTAACAAAACACAAATAGAGAAGGAATTGGAAAATTGATCACTGGTAACTGACCACTAAAAAATTTTTAATTGCAGTTTCAGTGTTTTTCCTCTTAACCAATTTTATGAAATTGGAATATTTTTTAATTAGTTACTGAGTAGTTTCCAATATGGAATTTCATAACTTCTATCAAACTTTGAAGTAACTAATAAAACAGTTTAATTGAAAATTATTTAAAAATGACCTATGAAAGCAACTTTAAAAATTTATTCATTTATTCCATGACAAAATTATTTGATATTCCATGTAAATATTTGATAATATAGCACTGTACAAGATGACAAATCTGATCATGGACTCGTAGATATTTGCTGAGTTTTTAGCTGATGGCTGATAACCCAGCATGTAGTCATCAATAAATTTCTATATCATTATATGATCAATTCCAGTTTTTGACTACACAGATCAGGGGTCGCCAAACTTTTTTGATCATCGATCCCCTACAACTTTTCGAAACCTCGCATCAACCCCCACCAAAAAGTTTGTGTTACAAGAAAAAAAAAGCTCTTACTATTTTAATATATATCTTTTAATTTTACATTTTTTACATTTATTGTACATATGTTAATAATGATTTTTGTAACTGACAATCAATGAGACGGATAAGCTTGATAATCCTTGGCAAGATTAGCAATATTCGGTTTAAAATTTGTAAGTTTTAGTCTTTTCATCGACCCCCAATAATGTTATATCGACCTCCAGGGGTCAATATAGACCACTGTGGCAATCCGTGATACAGATTGTATGATAATTCAAAATTGCAAATAAATTTGAAAATTGTCTTTTGTTTTTGTGTCAGCATTAATTATATAACGTGAATAAAACATTATAAAATGATGATTTTTCCAAAGAAAAGATGAACGACTGAAAATTTTGGGCAATCAATTTTCCTGGTAGTTGTTTTGGCAGCCAGTTATTCTGGCATTTGACCAGAAGCAGTCACAAGTCATATACCAATAAATGTATCATCATCATTTATTTGTAACTTTTATGATTATAAAATTTAGAATAATTCAGCTAAATGTAAATGTATATAATCAAATGTGATACTGAATTATTCACAGTCATATTAATTATTTTTCATTTGTACAAATATTAAAAAAAATGATAGATGGATGGCCAAGGTGATTAATGCATGAGCTTATTTTAATGCATTTTGGGAGAGCCAGGATAAAATGAAAATGAGCAACTCCCCAGGATTTTTTTAGGAGTGGTTGGGGTTGGTCCCTTCTCATCCATCTGTACCATTTGTGATACGTAAATAGATAGGCTTAAATACATAATTAGCACCATAAATTAACTACAACACAAAATTTATAGCATTTTCATAGAATAGTTAAGATATATTTTGTGTAAATGTTGCATGAACACTTTTCTGAAATGATAAAAAAATAAATTTGTTTTCCATACTCTAGAGATGAATTTAATAGTTTGAAATTTTAAGCTTATTTAGGTATTTTTTCTAATATGCATTTTAATTGTGTTTACACTTATACAATGAATTTTTCTGTGGTTATATAGGCTCAGTTAATGTCATTGAATCCTGTGAGAATATTAAAAGGAGATGCTGAAGAAGAAAAGGCAGAAACTGCTCGTCTGTCATCTTTTGTTGGAGCAATTGCTATAGGCGAACTAGTTAAGAGCACGCTTGGACCAAAAGGAATGGTAAATATATAACTTAATACTGTTCATTTTCAATTGAACGAATCATTGTTTTCATTTTTAATGTAACAAAGAAATTATTGAAATATTTACATAGGATAAAATACTTGTGAGTGAAGGTAGAAATGAAGGAAGAGTCGAAGTTACAAATGACGGAGCTACTATTCTTCGTTCGATTGGCGTCGATAATCCTGCAGCAAAAATATTAGTTGGTGGGACTTATTATATTGCTTTGTAATTTATAAGAGGATAAAAAGAATGTAATGAGCATGAAATGAAATGCTAATTTATTTATTATTAGATATATCTAAAGTTCAAGATGATGAAGTAGGAGATGGAACAACTTCTGTTGCTGTTCTTGCTGCAGAATTTCTGAAAGAAGCAGAAAGATTAATTGCAATGAAAATTCATCCCCAAACAATTATTGCTGGTTGGAGAAAATCAGTTAATAAGGCTCGAGAAGTTCTAACTAATGCCGCTCAGGATAACAGGTGACTTTAATAATTATTATTAAATTATTTAGAATAATTTGTATCATTTTTCATCATTGTAAGAATATAGGAAATCAGAATATTCAAAACATTAATCTTTGAATAGTATGTATTCTTATTATCAAAAAATATTACAAGTGAAATTATTTTATACTGTTGCCAAATGAAATTTTTTATTTTATTATGTACAGTCTTGCTTTCATGCAAATTAATGTACCACTACTTTGCAAATCATGAGCACAATTTTTGATACAGATAAACTAATTCTAGATGCTTTTGCTGTAACATATCCAGCATCATGTTAAATCCACACCTAGATGAATTCAGACATTTTCAAGGCTAAAGAAGGCTCAATGCACTATTAAGTACATGTACTGTACCTAATAACATCTCAGTGTAGTAGGTATCTATTTTCATTGATACTGTATTGGTTCTTTTTCTTTTTTTCTTGGCAGTAAGAAATCTTATTTTTGAAGACATATTTATTAGAAATTTAGATATCATCAAGATTGCAATATGAGATTCAGTTTGATATTTAGTTTAAATCTTGAATTGTGTCAAATTCTTAATGATTCTTATTAACAAAAAATACATTTTAAGAATATGGATTTACTGAAATCCCTTTTTTAAAATTGTTTTACAGATCTAAGTTTCCCCCCAGAGTTGAAGAGCTGCCAAATATTCATTGTAATAACTTTAAAATACAGTGGAACCTCGGTATACGACCTTAATCCGTTCCTAATGTTTGGACTTATACCGAATAGGACATATACCAAACCAACCTTTCCCATAAGAAGTAATGTAAAAATGATTAATCCGTTCTCATGAAAAAAAATGGCTGGCTTTAAACACCTTGCTTTCCTGGCTAGTTCCTGTTTGATTTTTCATGAGATCAGCATGTATCTTTTTAGCTTTCTTGCAAATAATTGCTTCTGATATGCTGTCACCAGCACACTGTTTTACAGTTATCCAAACCAAAAGCAATTTCTCAACATGATCTAATGTCTTTGATCTCTGTTTAGAAATTGATTTAACCCCTTTCGCAATGTTAGCAGATTTAATAATGTCTTTATTTTTTGTGATTGTCGATATCGTCATTCTCGGAATATGGTATGAAACAGTTAAATCTCGAACACACATGCCACCTTCATATTCCTCAACAATCTCTTTTTTCAGTTCCATTGTGATTCTAGTAATTTTTTTAGTTTTCTGTTGCTTTTCACTTGCCTTTTTGCAATTTATGATTAATAAAAATAATAAAATTTTACTTACAAATTAAAATCAGAAGAAATTTAACAAAGTTAGAAACTGTGGCATCGTGAACGTCTAGTCTAGTCTAGTACACCAATAGTGCTACTTGTTCATAGATGGCGTGTATAATTGAATTAAGTCATATACCAAGCAAAATTTGTTTCATCCAAACAGGACGTGTTCCGAATTGGACGTATTCTAAAGCAGACGTATACCGAGGTACCACTGTAGTTTGATTCTAAAAGAAAAGAAGGTTTTGATCTGATGAGCCATGCACTTCTCCCACTGCCACGTCATGGACCTTCCCATTTTTCGCACCAGTCTGACACTAATAGTGAGCCGCAATGGTCATTTACTGTTTATAGTGTGACAAAATTAAAGATTCCGCCAAGTGTGAGGTTCGTAGTGTAATATGCGTTTTGAATGCGAAAAAAGTCCGCCCTATTGAAATATACAGATAGATAACCACAGTTTATGGTAATGTGATGAATGAAACTTCACTTCAAAACAAAAAGTGGGGATTGTTGTCCAGAGGCATTGTGCTTCTTCAGGATAACGCACGTCTGCATGCTGCTGCATTGACAAAGAACTTGCTTCAGCAGTTTAAGTGGGACATTTTTGAACTCTCCTTATAGCCCAGACTTGGCTCCAAGTGATTACCATCTTTTCCCAAAATTGAAGGATTTTTTGGCTGAGAATCACTGTGGAAGTGACAATGACTGAAAGAGGCTGTTAATGACTGGTACTGGTTCAAGAACTTGGTGGTAACTGAGTGTGCAGAAGGCATAGAAAAGCTGGTGATATGCTATGACAAATGTTTAAATTTGTATGGTGACTATGTAGAAAAATAGCTAAGGTATCATATGTGTTGTAAAATAAGTTTTCATTATATATATATATATAAATGGATGTGTGTGTCCCTATATTTCACTTTTTAGCCAAAACTACACATTGCACATGAATGGTGTTTGTATGTGGTAGTAGTCCCAAGTCTCCATTCGTGCACTATGGTGGTTGCATCTCGATAGCTATAAGGGTGCGGGAGATATGGGCTTGAAAGTGGTTGAAAGTGGAAGATTTTCTATTTTGATTTTAAAAATTTTCGAATTTGAATTTAAATTTGAATTGGTTCAATTATAGAACGATTGTAAACATTCCAGAAAATTGATCAAATTGAAAATAGTTGGTTTAACTGGAAGTAAAAGTTCTCTAATTAGTCTGGAAATGGGAGACCTAATTCTTGCATTCTGTGAAAACGGGTAAGATTGGCTATAATGTAATTATCTTAATCTTTACTATCGTTACTTTTTGCCCACAAATAAAAACCCAGCGAAGCAGGTCCTTGCAGCTAGTCTTAAATAAAAATATCTAGAGAAACAAACATTCTTTACTTTTAGAATGACCTTTGTATTTCAGTACCTGTTACCAGTTTTTTGATTTCTTATAAGATTTACCACAATATTACAAATTTCTGATCATGATGCAATTATCCTGCAATTTAAAAATGAAATAAATTGTTTTATCTTGATAATGGTCTATAGATAGACGAAAAGCACTTGATTTCTAATAATCTTTCACTTGTTCTGGCATTTTGTTTTATTTTGAGAACATGTTTAAAACAAGCTTGGATGTAATTTTAAAAATGTGCATTTTAAATTATCCACTTTTAAACTCCAAGTACAAATGAAATTATGTAAATAAGAGAGTAGTTATTACATTAGAAGTTGATGTGTATAAATTACAAAATTAGGGCAACAGTGTCCACAACAGACTTGACTCATCACTCCTATTGACTGTTGAAGTAAAAAAAAAAACAATTAACCAAACAGTCAACACTGACCAATTTGTTTTTATCTTAATTTTGCTGCTTGTGTATGTCAGCCTTAACAATAAGCAGATAATTTAGAACATACTGTTACTCAATGTTATTTTGACAGAAAAATGTATGCTTCCCAATTAATTCTAATCTTGTTAAAAATATTTCTTAATTTAAAATTTTTATCAAAATGAAAAAACAAAAAATTGTACATAATTATTATAGGCAGTCTGTCCCAAGTTTTTTAATTACTTGTGAAAGACTGATTTTATCTATTGATCATTAAACTGCTATTGCTTAGCTGCTAATGAATAGCTGTCTTTTTTAATTCTTTCTGCCCTTAGGCCCTCTCAGTACCAAAAGTGTAATTTTTAGCAAACCAATTATGGGCATGGTGATAGGTGAGGCCAAACAAATCTGAATGGACTCCCAAAAAGTTCCTGGGGTTTTTTGATCCATCTGGATTCAATCCCAGGTCTTCAGAATGGTAGGCTGCCACTTTAACCACTTGAGTCAATGAATAACTGTTTCTTGAAAATTTTGGAGTTTAGAGGCAAGAGTTTGAAGAGCTTGCCCACAATATTGAGAATGTGACAATGTTCTGGTTTGCAAGTTTTTTTTTATTCAGTGGTTGTGACTATTTTTCATTTGCTGAACTGAAATGACAAATGCAAAGCACTTGTTTTGATGATATTGGAGAAAGGGTAGAGGACTACAGTAGAGCATCGATTATCCGACTCAATTGGGGACTGGGGTTGGTCGGATAACTGAAAAAATGGATAACCGAAAAATATGAAAAAATACATTATTAGTATAGTATATTAGTATATCCCATGTAATTAGTATATCGCTATTGTATTGTTAAAAATTAGAAAATTAAGCCTCGTTTAAATACTGGCTCCCTTTTATGGTCGAGCCAGTGTTGCCAGCTAAAACAAGTAAAAATACTATTAAAGTAGCCAAGACATAGCCAAATATTGTGGCAGACATTTGAATTTGCCGACTAGAATGCGGTCGGTTAACCGATGTGACGGTTGATCGATGCTCTACTGTATTTTAAAATGCATAAACTATATAAAATTTAATAAAATAAAACAGACATTCATTGAAGTTCAACCCCTCTCCCTTGTCCTACTTGTTTTAACCTCCTCCCTCCCATCATGGATGCCATTTATGAACAGCCCGTTAGAATATATATGAATTATATATAAATATAAACACATCCACTAACCTGACTACTTAATTAAAACCAGATGAACTGTTTAATTATAGAACTATAATATGGATAAGTTAATTAAATATGAAATAATTTGTCTAGAGGCAGACAGTTAGGNCATAAGTAAAAATAAAAGACAGTGTATATACTAACTATATTTAGTGTTCTGAATACAATATATAATTACATTTTTTAGTATATCTTAATAGAATATTTTAAAACTTACATTATTTATTTAGCTCAAATCCTGAAAAATTTAGAGAGGATTTAATGAACATTGCTCGTACAACTCTTAGTTCGAAAATATTATCTCAGCACAAGGATTTTTTTGCACAATTAGCCGTAGATGCTGTACTGAGATTAAAAGGATCGGGAAATCTGCAAGCTATTCAAATAATTAAAAAATTAGGTGGAAGTCTTACCGATTCTTTCCTTGATGAAGGTAAGTTACAGTTTAATTCAAATGGTTTGTAAATTTGATATTTTGATAACTAAATTGAATCACTTGGTTTAGGATTTCTGCTGGATAAGAAAGTCGGTGTTAATCAACCCAAAAAAGTTGAGAATGCACGAATATTGATTGCTAATACTCCTATGGATACCGATAAAATTAAAATATTTGGATCAAGAGTAAGAGTAGATTCTGTTGCAAAAGTTGCTGAATTAGAAATTGCAGAAAAAGAAAAAATGAAGGACAAGGTAAAATATTTTACTATATGTAATTTGTACAATAATTTAGACATCCATTTAATATGAAATATATTTTCAGGTTGATATGATCCTGAAGCATAACATTAATGTATTTATTAACCGACAATTAATATATAATTATCCTGAACAACTGTTCTCTGATGCTGGAGTTATGGCAATAGAACATGCAGATTTTGATGGAATTGAAAGATTAGCATTAGTTACAGGTATTTTTTAATGTATTTGTTTTAATATTTATGTGGATGTGGATAATATAATTCATTCATTTCTAGGTGGAGAAATAGTTTCAACATTTGGTAATCCAGATAAAGTGAAATTAGGTCATTGTAAGTGCATTGAAGAAGTTATGATTGGAGAGGATAAATTATTAAAATTTTCTGGCGTTCCTCTGGGAGAAGCATGCACTATTGTCCTACGTGGAGCCACTCAACAAATATTAGATGAAGCCGAGAGATCTCTTCACGATGCTTTGTGTGTTTTATCTCAGACCGTAAAAGAAACTCGCATTGTTTATGGTGGAGGAAGTTCTGAAATGCTGATGGCCAATGCCATTATGCATCTTGCTGAAAAAACAGCTGGAAAAGAAGCCATAGCTATGGAATCATTTGCTAAAGCATTACATCAAGTAATTATCCATTATCGTTTTTCTAATTGTTTAAAAAAAAAAATTGAGATTTTAATTCTTAATATGCTCCTGATAGATTCCAACCATTATTGCTGATAATGCAGGTTATGACAGTGCTGAATTGGTGGCCGAACTCAGAGCAGCTCATTCACAAGGAAAACATACTTATGGATTAGGTATATAAATATTTCATAATAGCTATCATAATTTAAGTCAAAAGAATTAATCTAATCTATATTTCTTTAGAACAAAAAACAAAGCTAGTTGATCATGAGGTTTTACTAATTGCTATTAAATTTGATTTCAGATATGCAGAAAGGTTGCATTGGTGACATGCAAAAATTAGGAATCACAGAGTCCTTCATTGTAAAACGACAAGTTCTGTTGAGTGCAGCAGAAGCTGCAGAAATGATTCTCAGGGTGGACAATATCATAAAATCGGCACCCCGTCAACGCCAACCAGACCATAGTCATTAGTGGCACTACGCATTTGGTATCAGCAAATATTTTCTGTTAAGGACAATATTTAAACTAAAAGGCATTTGTTTTTTTTATTTGTACTAATTGATGCAATAAAAGTTCCAATGAAAAGTAAATTTTTATTTGATTTGCAATAAAAGCGAATCCTATACAAAACAAAAAAATTCCAATGTGTTTTTATAAATATTCCAAATTACATTCTTCTTTAAAAATAGCCGACATTCATGCACCCAGTTTTAGAGAGGACTTCTGAGTCAAATTAATCTTGTCTCCCAAACTCAGAGCCATACCCTTTAAATAAAAAAATATATATATACATTATTACATTACAAATCTAAAGTAACACCAGCAAAATTTTTAAGAATTCTACATACTTGACTTTTTGCCCTGATTCTTATATGACCGGTAACAGGAGAATCTGGGTTATTGGGATTTGTTTCAATACTAACATTGGCTAAAGCATCTTCTCCAAAAATGGATCGGGCATAAAGATTTGCCGCCATAAATCCACATTCTCCAGAAAGTGCCTGTAAGCAAGAATTTAAATTCAGGCTGCCAAAAACAATTGCAATTAACAGTGTATAATTACCTTTTCGGGAGTGAGACACTTCATATTTGTTGATTTAATCAAATGTTGCAGATAAGTATGAAGGTTTCTGAGGCCAGTATTAACTGATACCTTAAAAAATGCAAAATTATTTTAGAGTTATATAAATTTCTTATTTTAACTAAGTACAGTCAACATTTCATACCTTATTTTCCCATTCAAATTCTGCCCACATTGTACGGAATTCAGTATCAGTGCAGGATGCTGGAACTATGTAGTCCATAATGTCTATGTGGATATCATTCAAAACCACAACATTGCGATCACTTGTTGAACCACTCACATCATATACTAAAAGTACACACAATTTTTGAAAAAATTAAGCTAGACAGCAAGAATTTTGCAAGACAAGTATTGTACATATCAATTAATATCTAGCATACATGATCTGAAAATCTGTTCTCTGTATTTGAAGTTTATCAAATACAGAAAACAGCATTTCTCATAGTCTAGTAAAACTATTCTGCTTTCTCTTATGAACAAATATTCATCCATAATACATTATAAGGTAAATATCAAATCCTATATTTCACAATAAATATAAAATATACACATCTTTAAAACTGAATATATAGGGTGATTCACTTGGAATTTTGTTACACATCACAGTTAATTTAAATATTCTGTTCATGTTTCGTGTCCATTCTTTATATTGTATGGAGAAATTCCACATGAAAGTGTTCAGTCCCAAGTGAATCAACCTATATTTGACAACAGATTTTATTTCTTGAAAGCCATCTTTGGAGTAATTAATGGAATTTGTGTATGCCAGTCTTATTGTTTGCTATTTTAAGATGTATTATTAAAAATAAAAATGCAACCATCCAACAATAACAAAGTAATTCTTTTCTGTGAAAAAATATTAACATTTATGTTTGCTGTTGTCAACATTTAATTGAATTAATTAGAATCTATTCCACATTTTCCATAATTCAATATAATTGTACATGTTATTTTAAGAATTTAATTATTGGTTTAANAATGAAAGAGACTGGCAAAGGCAAAGACAAAGTGATAGGGAAGAAGGACAAAAAGAAATGTAAGTTGGAAGTAGTTTTAAATGTACAAATATATAAAATAGTAAAGTTTATTGAAAAATGTCAACATTCAACGAAAAATGTTAGTGTTTAATGTAACAATTATTGGTTTTAATACAGGAGTGTTTTAAAAGTAATATTGATTGTGATTGTCATTGGAATGAATTATTGGAGGATAGATGGAATAGAAAGAAAGAACATTAAAATAGTAGGAATTTTATAATTTATTATCGTAGGCGTAAAATTTTTGTGAGAAACATTGTCGGTAAATTAAATTTGTTTGAATTTTATTTAGAATTGGTTTGTCAAATACCTGCTGAAGAGTACAAGTCCGAAACGCAAATTGTATGTGTCCAGGTAATTGAAAATAAAACAATTTTAATCTGTGTAACTGTGAGGCTGCAATCTTGTACACCAGTATGATAAGTCCTATTAATAGAAATACACTGATATAGTGATTAAAAGAATAAATTTGATTAAATTAAGGACATAGATGCATATTAATTAATTAGAATCTACTGCACATTTTCCATAATTCAATATAATTGCACATGTTATTTTAAGAATTTAATTATTGGTTTAATGCTTATTTTATTAAAATGATACATAATTATGTTGTCCTCAACTTCCATAATCAAGTTAATGGCTTAGAACATGTTACTCAATTAATCAAGAGTATCTTGATGCAGTGTCAGTCAGGTATCAGTAATTAATTCAGTGTCAAAGAAACTGCATTTAATGCTGTCATCTTTGATCTTGCTTGATAAATTAATTTATAGTAATCTTATTTTTGTCCTCTTTCATAACTCACTTAAAGAGTCATCTTCTAACAATATCTTATTTGTAATTGCAAATAAAATAAGCTTGATATTTATTCTAATTAATGAACATATGATAAAAACAAATGATTTTCAGGGCTCTGATTCACAAACACCCTGTATCATAACATGATGAAATTCATCGTAGATGCAAAAAGTTCATATTCACAAAGCACATTGTAAGCTAAAATATTAGATATCGTAGTAGTTATGAGACTTTTTACAAGAGCCCTCATAAGTCCAGGTACTGGTGGCCGAGTATTTGGTTCTATCGATACATAATTCAATCTTTTTTTCTGATTTGAAACTTCTAAGATGTTGTCAAATGACAAAAATATTGATATTAATTCCACTGTGAAGAATTCTAAGATTTTTTAAGACAACATTCTATAAACAGTTTTTATTATAATTTAATGTTATCTTTTATCACCCAAAAAAACTTAGTTTGTCAATTTATTTCAAACTTCTTTAATATTTCTATTAATATAACTACTTGGGTAGATTTAGTTCTACACAAACCAGTTACATTTTTAAGTATGGTCTATTATACATATGAATAATTAATCTAAAAATAACTAATTCCTATGCATTTTAATTCTAAAGAAATAAAATGCTACCTTTCCCCAGACTACAGATTAAATACTACATGCAGCGAGAAAATTCTAAAAGAAACGTCTTTCTGTTGGTTCTATTAAAACAGAAGCAGTCACTGGTGATGTCATAAGACACACTCATTACCAATTCCTTCTGTTTTATCATAAGTACTGCGATATGTTTTGTGAAGAATACAAAATATAAAATGTTGTTAGTTTCTCATAACTCTACGATACTAGAAAGATACTACATCGTATCTTATGAGACGTTTGTAAATCCGGGCCCAGGAACATAAAACATCCAACTAACTATACTAAACACTCCTCATTATCCTGACTTATATTTTTAATTATGATATGGTATTAAATAAAGACAATAAAGCATCATTTTTAAAGTGTATTCTTCAAATTAAAATGTGCTAAATCTGAAATGTATGAGATTGCAAGTATGTAATATATTTAATTCAATTCTTATGTGTTGTTTTTAATGGTGATGTTAGATACAGTATTTATATTGATAGAATCCTGAAACAGAGCTAAAGTGATAACTAATTTATAGATTTACAAATTTTGAATACTTTTTCTATCTTTTTTTAGATTCATACAATCCTGGAAATTTCAAAAAGCCAAGCATGTGTTTCCAAATTTCTTCTTAAAAGATATTACATTAAAAAATTTAATTTTGATATGTAATATTAGTTACTTATTATTTCAATTTCATGGTATACTAATTCAGCATGCCTACAATTCTATAGTAAACTCTTAACAGACTAACTCACATCATTATAGAATCAAATTTAACAAAGCCTTAACAATTTGTGTGTGATAAATCTGTAACAATACATAATTATCATTTATTTTTTTTATTAAGCTCTTTCTACACTGTGTCCATTTTAAGATGGCTTTTCTCATATCTATCATCAGGTTGACCAGACCCAGAATGATGGCTGTTCCTCACTTTTCAACTACAAATCAATATAATAGAAATTTTTAAGATTTTATTCTGAATCAAAGAGTGACAGATTGCCTCAATTATTAAAAATCTAAAAGTTATTAAAAGGTATTACAAAGATCATTCAAGTATCATTTTAATATCAATGTCAATATTTTCTACTTCACATAATTTATTTTACTTTATATTAAATTTTATTTATTTTATTTTTTATTTCAATTCGTTCCATAACACCATATAATCCTTCAAAATTGATTTTTCTCTCATTCAAAAAACCAATTCAGAATTAGCTATTAGTTAGACATTCATTTAGTTTAATGTCTGACTTTTCTGAATTCAGGAATAAAATTTATTTTGAAGCTTTTCTATACAAGTTCCGTTTGTTATAAAAAAGTTCTGTAACTTACCAATATTCCCAAATATTATTCCATTTTCAGTAGATGCAACTTTGACACTTGCTTTAATGTTACAGAAGTCATGAGGTGCAAGAATAATAGGCGATGGTTTTTCTACTAGCTTCAAATCACCTATAATTATTTGAAACAAACAATTGATTTAATATTACATATATTCTTATATTACATAGTCTATTCAAAACATACCCAGAGTTGCCAATTCCAAAGTACAATTTTGCAAAGTATCTGCAGTTTGATTAACTATTAAGACATCTAAGACAATATCATACTGATTGACATGCACGTAAGCTTCGGCATATACTGGATCAGAAAATCCTGTAAGTTGTGTAACTTTGCTTAACTTGGAAGAAGAGAGATCAGCAACAGCTTCCTTCTTTGTCATTCCCATTGCTTGAGATAAACTAAGCTCAAACATATTCTATAATTTAAATTAGAAAATTGTAAATCAGTTTGATAGTTTTTTTATAATCACATCATTCTCACTTACTTCAGTTCCAGTTAGATCATTTTTGGAAGCCAACTGACTGAAACTTATAGGATCATCGGCGTGGATAGTTACACTCTTTTTTTCTTTAGCCTTAAAAATGACAGAATTTGATTTTTAAAATGTATCATATCAGCATTTTAAATGATTTAAAATAATTAGACAAACCTTTTGATTTTCCATTTCTTCTTCTTGATTGGAGGCTAACATAGTTGCAAGAGATTTTCGGCATTCTGTATTAAATATCTCAATCATTAAAGGGGACCTGTCTGCTAACACTTTTATACACAAGGAAATCCTATCAAGATCATCTTCTGTAATATTCTGAAATCAAAAATTTGAGATTTTTTTTAACCATTATTTAAGTAACTATGACAATCAAAATTTTAAAATGTTGCTTTACTTTTTTTGGAAGTCCTGATTTTCCAAGATGAATAATAGATACCATAATAAGCATAGCTTCTGCAATAAATGCCTAAAGAAAGTGGTTCAGAATAAGACTTTTATTATATTATATAAAAGTAAAATACAATGCTTACATTCTGTTTCTTTGGATCATTAACAAGATATAAATATCTGAGGGCTAATTTGGCAAGACTGGAAGATAAAGCTCCTCCAACAAAGAAATCTCCTTCCATCAAATAACCACACAGAGGAGGCCGTTGATTGACTATTAAAAATAACCGTTACAATTAAACCAAATTAACTTATTTTTTAAAATCTTATTTTAATTTTAACAACCTTTTTTAGCAATTGGAGTAGTATTAAATGCAGTTTGTGTGGCATATGTTCCATCTGCTGTCACTAAACGCTGCATTGGGGCAGATGTTAGTGTTGGATCAGTCTTTTCTGTTGCATCTCCTACAACTTTTTTCATTTCTGCTTCCACCAATGGAATCTGTTATATTTAATAAATATGATTAAAAATACTACTTTAAATTTAGGTAAATCTTTCATGTTGATTTTTTGTAATCATTCCATTCACAACCAAAATATCAATTTTTTTTTTATAATGCTGCCCTACAAGTACTAAAAACCTTTTTTTATGCACATCAAAGATTCAGCCAAGCACACATTAAGGATGGCTAGATGGTAAGAGATGGGAACCAACATATCTGAATCAAAGTTGTTTGATTCAGATTTGAAAAATTTGAGGTTTGACATCCAGAGCAGTATGCTGACATCTTTATTGTGTTGATCATCCAGCTGTAACAATAATTCATTTATCATCTTCATTTATACTGATATAAAATAAAAATCAAGTCATATTTTTTTGTTCTTTTTTATAGAAATAAATGTACAAAATTTATTAATCTTTACTGTAAAAATCAATAGGAAAAAATCTTTTTTCCTCCTCATATAATACATTCTGCATATACAAAATGAATATTTGTGAAATGTATATCTATGTACATGTTCAAATCTGGTTCATATAAAACATTTGTGTAAATACACACATGCTTGATATTATTTTTTAATGAAAACAGTGACTTTACTTTTTGCATTCTAAATGTGACTCTACACTTTCAATATTTACCGATTACTGAATAATTGCCTTTTTGTTCCCTTTGATTCTTAAATGTAAACACAAGTTCTTAAATATATAATGTATATTTAATGTATAGTCTTCACTGAATTAATTTAGTTGTAAAAGAACTTGTAACCTGAAAGATATCTACTTTAAAACTGAAAAAGGACAGAGCTGTCCAAAATGCATATTTAATAAAGTATAACAGCTAAAAAAGTCTCTTGGTGTCTGATTAAAAACATTCCAAAAGGTGTGATAAGTGCTCAAATTAGAAGCTAATACAGAAGCTTAATTAATACATTAAATTTCAAAAATAGATACTTGAAAAATAAATGCAAAATACAAAAAGAAAATTTAAAAAATATGCTCTTACATCTCCTAATCCCTGACGAATTTCAGTCATCACACTCTGAATATCTTCAATTGAACTGCAATATTCCCCAAGGATCCATAAAGCACTACGATGAATCCTGTGTAATAAAGTAATAATTTATGATCACTTATAATTATTTTTGAACAATAATTATTGAAATAAGATTACTTTGCAGATTTGATCGACGGGAAGATCTCTAACAATTTTACAATAACCAATGGACGAAGTTGTTCAAAACGTTGCATAGCCTCTCTAACAAAAGTGAGTACATCGACTGCAGCTTGTTCATTATTATCCGATAAGAATTCCAACAACTTATAAAAATTAATAAGAAATTAGTGAATTAAATTAAATTTTTAAACTAAAAAATACTAAAAATTTATTTAAAACTCCTTACAACGGGAATGACAGTCGGTGCAACATCAGGAAATCTAACACAACAAGAATGAAGAGTTCGAACCAAAAGCTGACGATACTTCCCTGTATCATCATGTTCAACAACATTATGAGTCTTAGCTACTTCTTTTTTCAAAACCAAAACCATCTGAAAATCATTTGATTAAAATTTATATATATTTTTTTCAATAAATATATTTTAAATAATCATAAAATAATGGTTGTATATCAGAAATGATCTAATTAAAAATAAATAACATACAAAAAACATAATTTTTAAAATTAAAATATTGCACAATCAATTTCTAATAATATTTTAGGCTGTAACTACAGTTCAGTTAAGAATGGGGCAAGCAAAAACTTGAAACACTAGACAAATAACCTGTATGCTGTTCCCTCAAGAAAATAAATACACCAACATATTTGAAATATAAAACATTAGTACTAAGCTTTTTAAAAAAATTGCTGTGGTTCTGCTCAGATTCTGCCACTCTAGGCTGCCTAGAGTGACAGTTCACCTACATAGTCACACTGGAACTGGTTAAGAGTGCACTATACAGGGATCAAAAATAGGAAACAATAAAGATCCATTAAAAGTAAACTTTGCCTCACACACTCTGCTGTCTTATCTTTAGCTGGTCATTTTGCTGGAAGAGGAAATTCTATAAAAAAGACAGTTTTGCAATTACAGTATATAGGACATAGAGTATTTCACTTTTACATCAGTTTGCAGCACATTAAATTATTTTAAAGTTTCAAAAGCTAGTTTTTTTTTATATGTTTTGCATTATTCTGCTGTAAGAGAGTGGTTACTGGTTGAATAAAGATATGATCTTTTCAAAGGGAATCAAATTGTATTGATCATATAGACCAAAATATTTGTTCCAGAGAAAACTGGTCAAATCAAAAGTTTCACTGTATTATTATCCATTTTTATATTTCTTTAATTAAACAAAAACTAATCCATGTTAATTTTTCCTTCTGCAGTTAAGCTCTATACAACAGAATGTTTTTAGCTTGAAATAAAACTAACATATCACTACACAGAATAATGTTACAGAGTAAATACTACAATAGTGTGTAAAAAATGCCATGTAGTAAATTCAAATAATTCTTTTTTGAATTTTGTCTAAACATCAATAATGTAATACAATTATAGATACAATTTAATAAAAAGAATTAATTTCAACTTTTATTAATGACAATTAATGTGAGATTGGATATTTTTCTTTCAGTTTTAAGGATTTTTGGAAAAATAAAAAGAATGGCTTGTCATTTATTTACTATAACACTAATATCAAATACAAGTCTGATTAAAATGGATTAAAATTATTAATCCATTGTTAAAAGGCAGCATAAGGGTTGCTTTATAGTCCAATGGTGGTGTGGTGCTGCAACAGCAAAGTTTACAGAGTTCCTCTATGTTTTTCATCCTCTGCTCTGCTAGATGTCAAACTATAGATGTTTGACATCTAGTTTGGCCTAGCAACAACTCCAAAGCAGAACAATGTTCAACTTTGACATCTGACGCCAATGCCACACTGCCAAATTAGCCACTGGGAGTTTGACTATAAACCAATGTTATTATTAACTCCAAGCTGTCACTGAACTATAAGCTGGTCTTAAATATGAAAAGTGTACTAATGTTTTCAAAAAAACTTTTTCAACAGCCATCTTTACAAGTATAAAATATGCATTGCATCTAATACAACTCTGAAAATAAATATACCATCAATAGTAAATATACAGGGGGGGTGAAAAAGTAGGTAAATAGTTGAGAATCTGAGAAATATAAATGTTTGGTGTTCATTATTATCTTTTATTAGTTCATATTCATTATTTGCGATTTAATTTGTACATAAAAATAAATGTTTTTTCTTCCTTTTTTCTCCCTGTATGTTTTTCTCCCATAACAACAACTGTATACCTACTTTTGCACCTCCCCTGTATATACACAAATTATAAAATTTTTTGGAAAATCTTGAACTATTTTCTAATTTAAAATTAAAAAAAAAAAAAGCTATTTTTACAATATTTTAAAAATTACCTCCTCTACATTTCGTGATGAAATCAGATCAAGTGCCAAATTGAGAGTTTTACGACGCACTTCTAAATCTGATGCAGTTAACACTCTCAGTATATCCATTACAAGATCCTAAATTATAAATTATAAATAAAATAAAAACAATTATTATAATAAAATTATATGTTAAAAAAAATATATATTTTTTCCTTTGATAGCAAGAAACAATCTTTAAAGTTTAATTGTTTCAAAATGAAACAATTAAACTTTAATTCTTAGACAGAGACCAAATATTGTTGTGAGCTTTACAACAATATCCTAAATAACTTTATATCATTAAAATAAAAATGATAATACAAATATTTTTATTATATACTTTTACTTTACTTTTTAGTAAAAATCTATAGTATCAAATGATCTGCCAAATTTTTTATTAGCATATATTAAGGTTAAATTAATAATCAAGTTTGAATCAATTTGGCTGGAAGTAAGCAGTTAAGCCTCCATTTCATGATAAATTTAATAATTAGAAATAAATTAATTTTAATTTAGAATATTCTGGAAGAAGAGATTGGCCCAGAGTGGGAATTCTGAGTCAACCTCTTCTTCCAGATTCTGAAAATCCTGCTTATCATGCAGGTGCATTGCCAGTTTCATTAATCAAATTTCTGTCCCGTCTCTGAATGGAGGTCCATCTTCAGACAGAGTGGATAAAAAAATCCAGCAGATTAGTACTACAAGTGTATGTTTATGTAAAAAGTTGTTGTTTATGTAAAAAGATATATTTAATCTTAATTTTCTTGTACAGTTTCTGTTTATTTTAAAATTTAAAATCAATTTCATTCAGCAACCTAAATTTGTCTGTATGCATGAATAACAAAACTTCACAGCCTATCTTTGATATCATTATTATTAAAGGAAAATTTTATTTTTATCTTAATTATTTTTTCAATTATTAAGATACTATTGTTAAAAATGTAACAAGATTAAGAAAAGATGATCAAATAAGAATTAATGATAATATTAGATTTAAAATTTAAGTATAAAAGTTAGTAATAAAATGTATCATATCATAGAAAACTTTACTTTGACTTTTCAATGATTTAAACTCATAATTTACATTATTATAAATATTGTCCTATCACTAAATTTTGCTCAAATTCTACAATTATGTACATTGTTTTTAAAAGTACAAAGCAGGTGTCAGCAATCTATGGGATGCATGGCATGCAGAGCAATTTTTAATGCACATAGCAGGTTTAAGATCCATAGTACAGAAAAATGAAAAAAAATCATGATTCAAAACAAAAATTCCATTCATTTTTATTCTTTTTATAGTGCATCCCTTCCACTATATGATTATTTTAAAACTCTACTTATTCTGTTTAGATTTGCTATAAATTTGTTCAACCTACGACCCTAACAAATGAAACTTCAAGCTTTATAAAATTCATACTTTCATAAAGTGAAACATGGGCTTCTATAAAACAATAGAACAGTATACTTGTTTCAATTTGAACAATAGAACAGTATACTTGTTTCCTTCCCTGTAATAATCTCTCTTACATTTGGAACAGTTCTTTAATCATTAATGTGAATGCTCTTTGCATTAAATTTGCTTATAACTAAATAATAAAATTATTATTTATGTCCCTGTGGAAAATTTATTTGTATTAATAATAATATTAATAATTCATAAAATGAAAATATTAATTTACTTCTATTTTTTTGTTTTAAAAATGGTTGGGTCAATTAATGATTTTTCAATTAATTTTTATCATACAGATAAAACAGAGGTTTCAACTGTCCAAATGTATCCTTTCCAAATAATTGAAAATCTATTGTACAGATAAAAATATTTCAAAACAACAAAATTATACTTGAATTATATAACTTTCAAAAAAGTAATAAAGTTTATAAAAGAGTTTTCACATTCAGTTAACTTAATTATTCATTTTTTTTATTGCTTAATATTTCCTAATACAATTTTATAATTTACTTTGTACTATTATATATATTATTTTATGAAATATAAATTATTCCTACCTGTAATACACGCTCATGAGCTGGAACTTCTTTAAGCATTATGAGACGATCTAATACAATTAATTTAACATTGTTATCACTTTCTTTAACAATTAATTCTATGTAACAACTTGCAGCAGCCTGAATAATAATGATATTTTCTCAAAAAAATTATATATATATATAAACAAATAACAAATTAAAAAAAAAAAAATATATATATATATTAA